CTAAGAACTTATAAGTATGACATATGGACATGAACTAAAGGGGAGGGAATGTGGGTGGGAGAGGGTGTGCAGGTTGGAGGGGAGTGAAGAGGGGAAATGGGACAACTGTAATAATAAAATATATTTTTTAAAAGGTAAAAAAATAAACACTGGAATTATAACTATGATGTTTCAGGGCAGACTGAGAGGGTGTGAAGAAAGATTTGACATAATTGAAGGGATCAGGAAAGACTTCTCTGAGAAACATTTAAGCAAAGATTTTAAACAGCAGGAGTTGGCCAAAGGATGAGTAGAGACTGGAGCATTGCATGCAGAGAAACAGTACATGAGAAGGTCCTGGCAGAAAGCTGCTGGGCGAGTTTCAGAAACTTTAAAGGCCATTGTAGGATATAAGATCGTGGAAGAACCCAATCATCTCCTTGTAAACAAAAGTAAGGATGTCCCTACATTCTCTTAAGGAGGAGTAGGAAGTCTTGGCAGACTTTAAATAGAACTTTAAAAGCTTCTCTTGGGCCTTGGCTGGGTGGCTCAGTTGGTTGGAGCATCATCCCATTACCAAAAGGTTGCTGGTTTAATCCCTAGTCAGGGCACATACTAGGTTACAGGTTTGGGGACATACAGGCGACAACTGATGTTTTTTTCTCTCCCCCCTTCCTTACTCTCTAGAAAATCAATAAACATATCAGTGGGTAAGGATTAAAAAGTAATAATGAAAAAAATAAAAGCTTCCCTGACTGGCATGGCTTAGTTGGTTGAGTGTTATCCTGCAAAGTGAAGGGTCACCAGTTCAATTCCCAGTCAGGGCACATGCCTGGGTTGAAGGCCAGTCCCCAGTTGGGGCATGTGCAAGAAGCAACTGATCATTGATGTTTCTCTCCCTCTCTTTCTCCCTGTCTTCCCCGCTCTCTAAAAAGAAATAAAATCTTTAAAAAAAAAGTTTGCTAGAATTTTTTTAAAGTAAAAATAAAAGCTTCCCTTGGCTGCTGTGTACAAGTGGAAGCAAGATGTCAAAGTCTCACAAACTTCTCTGACTCTTCCACTAAACTGTAAGCTTCTTGAGGGCAGAAATTGAATTTTTTAATTAGTGTATCCACAGAGTCCAGCACTGTGCCTGACAGCAGATGCTCAATATTATATTAATGAATTGAAAAAATGGATGGTGAGGCCAGTATCCCAACTTAGGTTTTCAAAAAAGGCTCTACTCAAGTATCAACACCCCACCCCCACATACAGCCCTTCAAAAACCATCTCTCCATCCACACCCAAGACTAATTGGATATCCCACGTTTTGCTGCCAGTGCTTTTGTGGTCAATTGTATTTTCCAAAAATGGCCATGATAATATCTAATAACCAGCATGCTCTTATTACACTCTAACTTTCACACTTCCATTGAGAAGTAGAGTCTAGTTCCCTTCCCTTGGATTTGAGGTGAGGTCATAAAAGATGATTCAGCTTCCTCCTGGTCCTCTTGGGACATTTGCTCTTGGAACCCAGCTACCATGCTTTGAAGAAGCCCATCCTGCCCTGTGTAAAGGTCCACATGGATAAGAACTAATAGCTAGGATCGACTGGCTAGCCATGTGAGTGAGCCATTTTGAAAGTGAATCAGCTTTCAGTAGTACACCCAGTTGACACCTTTTGGAATGGAAATGAGCTATCCCCACTGAACCCTGCCCAAATTACAGATTCATTAGCAAAATAAATTATGGTGGTGGTTTTAAGACACTAAGTCTTGAGATGGTTTTGTTAAGCAGGAATAGGTAACTGGAACAGCATTCTTTGTTTATCATGAAGGCAGGTGATGCCACTCAGTAGTTAAGTAAGTGGCCTATGATTGTCTTGGTTCAAAAGCCCATCTCTGCTACTTACTAGTTGTGTGACCTTTGGCAAGTTAGTTAACCTCTCTATGCTTCAATTTCCTTATTTTTTTGTCTAAATAAAAACAATACTTAAGTTTGTTGTGAGGATTAAATGATAATGCAGGTAAATGTAGATCTACAGGTAATACAGATCAATCTTTGTGGTCATCTCACACAAGCCTCTGACCATACAACCATCCCTCTAATGTGATTCTAGTTTTTTGTTTTTAGAGTACTTTTGATATTTGTGTATATGTGTTTATATATGTATGTATATATACAAACATACAAATACAGTATATAGCTTTTAGTACGATCAGAATGATCTTGTCTAGTTGTTTGTTTATCTTAACAAAGTGTAAGTCCCAGTAAAGCCAGAGCCTTGTGTGTCATTTTCACTGCTGTATTCCCAGTACATGGAACGGTGCCTAGCACAAAGTGCTTAATCACTTTTGTGAATGAATGAATAGCGCGTTCACACTTCTTGTGGAAGACATCACTAGTTCCTACCCAGTATCCATTCTCTCCTTCCCCAGTAGTGGGCCTTGCTTTTGTTGCGGATGTCAATATAAAATACTGTCCCAGATTCCAATTGCAGCTAAGGGTTGTGCAGTGCATTTCCTATCAATGAGACATAGTCAAAGGTCTGCCAAGGGTGCCTGGGAAATTTTTTGCTTTGATAGAGGCATTGTCCTTGGGCTTCTTTTCTTCCTTCCTGCTGACAATACAGGCTAGAAGTAGAACGGCCAAAAAGACCATAAACATAAGAACAAAAATAGGAGCTACCTGAGACATTAATGAACTATCGAATGGAGTCACTACACCACACACATTCTTTGTGAGGAAAAAATCCCTTGTAGTTAAGCCTCATCAGTCTTCTGTTACTTGCAGCCAAATACATCCTCAACTGATAATACTATGGTGGAGTAATGTATACCCCTCTAGTCTGTTTATGAAAGGCAAGGAATATTTCATATTCCTTACTATTCTATAGGATTAGAAGAATTTATCAACACAAATGTTACTATTGGGATCTCTTCAGCTCTCTTCAAGTAGTGAGAGTGGCCAAGTAGCAAGGGTCACCACATTATTTCAATCTGTTTGGCTTCTGAGTTCAGACATTTTAAATAGCAGGGGTTATGTGTACCATTCATTCCTGAAACAAATGTATTCATCATACTCTTGGCCAGACATTTTATGGCTGTTGGGGATACAGAGATGATTAAATCAGATGATTGAAGCTGGATGCCCAACTTCCCACAGGACAGGAGCTGAGCTGCTCCCAGTAAGAGATTTAATTCTAGCAGTCTCTCTACCATCTTGTTTGTCCTCTCAGTTTCTTTACCCCTCACCCCACTTTAATGGTCTCATTTCACTTATTCATTTGCCAGCTTTTTTTCTCCCATATGCCTAGAATACTTAGTACTTGCACTGCATATCTGTTTGTATTTTGAATGCCTAATTATTGATTTCCAAGGTTATTCAGGTTTCAAATTGTCTGCTCTCTCTACAACTAAATCTTCATGTGATCCTGCTGATCTATCATAAAGTGGCTGTTCTCCCAATATGAAAACAATATGAGAAACATCTATGTGGTTTACCTAAACTCAGATGTGGGAGCTGAGTGCATTAACCTTATCCTGGTCATGATTGGGTGTTGTGGTCATAAGCCCAAATGATAGATCCCCTCACTCAGGTCCAGGGTACATCCAGATCAGAATTTAAGACAGTAATAAAATGTTTTAGACTAGTCATGAACTTTGTCCTGAAAGTTAAAGCTTTAGGAATTGCTGCCATGGGAACATAGGTGTAACAGGTTAAGGTACACCATTGAAACAAGTGCCAGGAATCCTGGGGCCACATTGTATCATCACCTTTGATATTTTACTTTTGAGGGCCTTTATTTGTGTGTGTGTGTACACATAGTACTTAGAGGAAAGAGGTTGGGCCAGTTTGAGAGACTAATGGAAACTATAGCACCTTCCTCCAAAATAATACATATCTGCACATACACAATATTTAGAACCATTTCTGCAGGTCCACCTGTGATTTGCTATGATGGTGGAAACTTTTCAATACCATAATTTGGTCCTTTATGAGGTACCATTTTCATTTACCTTTCTTGTATGTGTTTTATCCCATTGAGTAGGCAAGCCTCCTGCAAGGAACAGTAAAGAAAAAAACAACAAAACAAAAACCTTTTTATTACCCCAGGGATGTGTGCGTATAGGGACTGAGGCTTGTCGGAAATATTTGCCAACTGAATCCTTGGAAGCTGCTGTGATTTACTGAAGACAGGCAGCTTTCAATAATCTGCCACTTCACCTCCCTCCAAAACAAGAGTTACTGCAAGAGGACTTGGACCATACACTCATGTTCTTGCTAGGTTTTAGGCTAAGACATTATTTACATATTCTTCATGTAAATACCCTCTTGGATATTTAGGGAATAAGGTAGTGCCTAACAGAAAGCTTTATAGCCTCCCTACCCAAAAATGTCAGTAAATATTAATAAATAAATGCACTCTGTTATCTGATAAGTCTATAGTCTTTACCCTTCCACAGCTCCGTGCTTTACCCCATACACACCCATACCTGCAATTAGATCATCCTCTATGTGATATCCCATGCATTCATTTCTCAAACTATATTCCTCCCCTGGCATGTGCTTGTGGAAAAGATTAAAAACAGGAATAAACCTAATGCTAATAGAATAGTAGCCTTGTAAGTCTTCCTTTTTTTTTTTTCTTTAGAACTTTCCCTCCCACCCATAAATTTCAATGAGGCCACCTTTAATCCTAACCTAGTTTTCCCTCCTCCAGGCCCCTCTCCCTGACTGTGTAGGCAATTATAGCCACCTAGTGGCCACATGGGGAAATGAATAACAGATTGCCCCCAAAAATCCCTGGTAAAAGGAAGAACCCCCATGCAGTAATTTTTGGTCTTGTATATATGGGGAGCAAGGAAAGAAAGCATGTGGATAGAGATTACAGCACAGGATCCAGACATCCTATTTCTTGGTCCCGCCTTGCCTCCACTAGTTATTATAGACAGATAAATTCACTTAACATTTGAATTCATTGAACAATTAAAATTTTTAAAAATTGAACAATTAAAAAAACACATTTGAATTCAGTCACAATTTATTGAGCAGCAACTGTGTGCCTAACATTGGGAATACAGCAGGATGAATAAGATGGACATGATCTGTCCTCAGGAGCTTACAATCTAGCAGCCAGCCGGCCAGCCAATTACATCCATAGTTTTAACACAGAGGTGATGATAGCTTGGAAAAAAAAACAAGACAAATTCCAGAGATATTTATGAGTTAGAGTGTACTTAGAGAGTGACTGGATGTGTGAGGAGAGGACTGTTTCTGGCAACAGGTACTGAAGTAGGAGACGCTGGAAAGGGGACAGATCCCATAGGCACAGGCCCTGAGGACAGCACAGGTCCACAGCAAACAGCATAGCTTTGGTTCTCAAATAGTCTACTGTTTAAATGAGCAAACAAGATACACATGAAAGCATTGCAGAATTGATTAAACATCAGAACAACTCAGATAATTCATAAGCTCTTGCATTATATGGGACTGAATGGAAGCCCTCAGTCTCACAGTGTATTCAGATACTGCTGAAGCCAATACAGATGTCTCCACCTTTGCCCATATCTTTCATGGCCCCTCAAAAAACTCCTGTGCAGCCCACCCTTTCTCTGGGCCCTAGTGCCTTACATCAGGAAGGTGCACTATTCCCTCCCTGCTTCCTTTTTGCCCACTACTGTCAGGAAATTCACTTGCTATTCTAATTCTCCTTCCTTATGATGAGGTTAAATGGGACCAAATATGGTTGTAATATGGTTGTTCTCTTGGTCATCAGGAGTTTTGACTTACTTAGCTCCTCTTTACCCCTGTCAAGCCCTCATTTGTAGAATCAACATCTTGCAAAGTCAACCCTGCCTTTCTCATGTTCTTCTCATGTTCCTGTGCCATTTGCCTCCCTTTTACTCCAAAGTGTCCCACTCTGGGTTTTACTTTAAAGACTTTATTTATTTAGAGAGAGAGGGGAGAGAGAAAGAGAGGGAGTGATGTGCGAGAGATAACATCAATTGGTTGCCTCTCACATGACCCAGCCCGAACCCAGGCATGTGCCTTGACTGGGAATTGAACAGGAGACCTTTTGATTCACAGGCCAGCACTCAATCCACTGGGCCACACCAGCCAGGGCCAAAGTGTCAATATGGGCAATAAGGACTTTGGAATTGGGTTGACTTGGTTACTAACTAGTATGCCTTTGTGCTATTAAATCTTGCAAAACTTCAAAACACTTATCTGGAGAATAGTGGTAATGGGTAGTTAAATTAAATATGGTGTATAAAGCACATAGTAAAATATCTAACCTGAAATCCCTGACAACCATTCACTTCCACTCTTCCCCTTGGGTTTCAGCTGCCAAATATTATTCAGAAGAAAGATTAGCCAGCTTTATATGGCCAGTGATAGGTATTTTCTATTTGTCTTTGTAAACACCATTTTCCTGCAGCCATCCCATTTCCATCTTTGCCAAAAAAAGTTGTTCCATCCCTCGTCCTGTGTAGGACATCTCTTTATCTTATTATCAAAAAGTTCTGCCTGAGTTCTTATCTGACTATGCTACATTTTCCTAATCCAAGATACTTTGTCTTCTTGTATCATTTTTTAAAATTAATTTCTAGCATTCTCCCTAACTTTTTCAGAGTAAATTATAATGGACCTGGAGAATCAGACCTTTACGTTTCAGAAGGGCATGGGAACCACAGGCCAGTTCCCAGAGTAAAATGGAGGTCAAGGTCCAGGCACACCTCCCCACCCAGTCCCCATCTCTTTTCCTATAGGGTATAGAAACAGCCAAATTCAAAATATGTCTTGAGTCTACATCAGCATATATCTCCTTTCCTATAGCTCTGTGAGGTCATCATTGAAGTAGAGCAGTATTGCAGGTGTGTGGAGTGCACCATCCATAGTGAGATAGTCAAATTCTTCCTCCTCATCCCGGATCCCATTCTCTTCCAGAGTATGTTCCATGTTCAGGTTCTTCCCTTCATATTTCCATGTGTAGCTGGCAGCATGTGCATTATAGGGGAGATAGCGGTGTAGGATTTCCCACATTGATTCCAGGTCCCCCACCTGGAGAACACGAAAGTATCCCATTCCCAGAATTTTGGGTGGGACACACACACACACACACACACACACACTCCAAGCAAATGTCAGGAGCCCAAAAAGTGATAGAGTTGGGATCAGAGTTCTCCCTTGGCAGATACACTTTAGACACTCCATAGTCCCAGAAATGAAGTTGGAGCCCCAGCATGCCCTAAAGTCCTACCTGTCTTGGCAGCCACTTCTAATAGATGGCTCTAAGGGTCATTGTCACTGCCTAGTAACCTCATCCCCACAATGGGGTAGACTTGGACTTTCAAGAGTCCAATTTCATTTGCTCTCCCACAGCATGTAAAAGCTTCCAAGGATCACCAGCACTAAGATGTATGAATTACTGCCCTGAGCTTATAAAGGAGTCTCTTGTACCCTGTGACCCAGCCACTCCTCGAATTCCCAACCATGGGGACCTAGGTAGTCTGCTTTCCTCGCTTGTACCTAAAAGGGAGAAAATACAGTTCCCACCGGTTTTGGGGAGCTGATGGCCTGAAGATCTACTCGGAGATTTGCTGGGATACCCAGTTCCCTCTGACCTCCACCCAGGCACGAGTTCTCACCTCCAGTGTGTGCTCCTGCGACGTAAGCGTGTTAATTATACGGATGTTCCGGGTCTTGGCTGACAGCCGCCCCACTTCATAACGTGACCCCTGCCACCAGGGCTTCCCGAAGTCATTGGCCCAGTCGGAACGGGGCAGCTGAGGTGGGATGTGCAGAAAGCGGCCCCGAGGGGTGCGGTATCTCTGGGAACCAGTCAGCGGATCTGTGTGCTTGCGGATCTTTAACGCAGGGTTTGGGGGCGAGGGGTGGAGTAGTCAACATCTCGGGCTCTGGCTAGCGCCTGCTTTTCCTCCCCATTCTTGCTTTCTAGTGCCCCTCCCCCTAACACCGGGCAGAACTCACGTCTCTGGTCTTGGGGTCAAACCAGTGGCTGATGTCCTGGCCCGCAACTTCCAGGATGGGTTTCAGCAGCAGATTTCCTGGGAAGGAGCAGCCGCCGCCATTGCTGTCTGCCCAAGAAGCAGACATCTCAAATACACACCCCGAAGCTGACCCAAAGTGTGGCCCTTACCTTGGTACTCTTGCGCCAATGGCGTTAGGTCATATACATATCCCAGGTAAGACACCCAGAGGTCTTCCGGCTGGTTGTGTTGAGCTACCTCGACGGGCGTGAAATATCGACGCTGGAAATACTGAAAGTCTGGCCCAGCCACTAGGCCCCGGCGTGGCATGGTTATTGCTCCTTTAAGTGGCTCCCTCGCTCCTCAGCACGCACTCAGTTCTGCGTTCTCCCAGGTCCAGATGCCAAAGTGAGAGCGTTTACCCGCTGACATGGAAACCATTGTCCTTTTCCAGCCACCGTCCACAGAGATCAGGCGCTAGGTGGGCCAAGAGTGGCGTGTGCTCATGGGAAACGTAGTCTGATACTCGCTTTCAAGTAACTGAGTTTCATCCTCAGGAGTTCCGGGGTGAAAGCGAGCACATTGTTCTAATTCGGAGTGGTCTGAGCTACGAGGGATGTTTAGGATAGAGTTTCTCACGAGGCAGAAAAACAAGGGGGACTTGTGCGTTTATGAAAAAATGTATTCTTGCTAAATTCCGGGGGTTTTCAAGCGCGTTAAAAAAAAAAAAAACTGGAGGGAGTTTCTCGCGATATCCTAATACATCCGGCGTAATAGCTCTCAGTGAACCACAGCGCCGGAGAAGCTTTAAGATCGCGAGACCTCTACAGTTGCAGGGGAGAGTAGGAGGCGCGGTGATCTCGCGAAAGAAAAGCTACCTGGAGAGCTCGCGATATCTCAGACCACCAGACCCGAAAGATTCTCAGAGAGTTGAAGGGCCTGGAGGAGGCCCCGGGACAAATGGCCGGAGCTGGACCGACCATGTTGCTACGAGAGGAGAATGGTTGTTGCAGCCGGCGTCAAAGCAGCTCCAGTGCTGGGGTTAGCGCGGGCTCGGGTTCCGAGATTGAGGGGCAGTCGGGGAGTAAGGGGGGCGGGGCATGGAGGGGGGACTGCAGCTCCCGGCAGCCTCTGGGATTCATGTGAGCGCCCCGCGGACTGTCGGGAGCTGTGGTTCCGTGGGCGGGCTGCTACCCGGGCGGTGCGATTTGAGCGCGTGTCCTGCCCTGCGCAGGACTCAGACGGGGAGCGCGAGGACTCGCCAGCTGCGCGCGCCCGGCGGCAGCTGGAGGCTCTACTGAACAAGACTATGCGCATTCGCATGACAGATGGACGGACACTGGTCGGCTGCTTCCTCTGCACCGACCGGGACTGCAATGTTATCCTAGGTTCCGCGCAGGAGTTCCTCAAGCCTTCGGGTCAGTGCCCGGGAAATCCACCGCCTGGGAATGCAGTGGAGCTTCAAGGCATTTCCCTTTCCGTTCAGTGCCTGGCTGCACCCCTTATTTTCTGGGGCTGTAAGCCTTGGCTCAAAAGGGGCGGGACCGACGCTGGCCTACCTCCCTGATGTTCTGACCCTTCTTTCCAGATTCCTTCTCTGCTGGGGAACCCCGTGTGCTGGGCTTGGCCATGGTACCAGGACATCACATCGTTTCTATTGAGGTGCAAAGAGAGAGCCTGGCGGGGCCTCCCTATATCTAACCACGATCGCGCATGCCTTTCAGACTTCATTAAATTTGTAACCGAAGTGGCCTGTGTGTGTAGCTGGGATGCCTGGACAGAGAGATCTTACACCCCACCTTAGAGGGGAGGTTTATCTGAAGTCAGAAGCACTGTCAAGCCTCCTTCCACAACCTGGGCGTCCATGAGTGCCAAATATCCCTTCAGGTTCGCGGGCGGGTATGGGGGACAGGCTGAGCTTCGGACCAACAGGCCCCAGGGTGGACCCCTTTATCTTCCCTCCCACGCTGCTGCTCCAGAATTGTGGCGGGGGTGGGGAGTGGGTGGAGGGGTGTCATCCTGTTCCGGAAGGCCCATTGTTTCCCTCCCCGGCCTGGCAACACCCGAGTTCCTCTAAGCTGGGGTCAGAGAACGGGCTCGGGTCCCCAAGGGGAGAAGGGCAGGCGACAAAGGCCAGGCCCCCTCCACTCTGTTGGTGGGGAGGTTACTTTGGGGTCAGGGACAGAGCTCGGGTCTGGCCAGGAAGAGCAAGCTAATGCGGTAAGAGAAGGCCAAGAGGCTGAAGGATGCTCCGGCCTGCACACTTGAGCCACACGCCCCCTCCCATGTTGTTTCCTACCTCTGGGCACAGGAGTGATCATACTTATACCACCCCTCTGTTCACAGGATCCCAGAACCACATTCAGTTCATTAATTCTTTATTAACATGTGATCACTCCTCCAACCTCACTCTCGGACCCGTGAATACTAGAGGAGCTGCAGCAGAAAAGGAGGGCACCAACGATGTTCAGTTGTCCAGTTCACAAAGGCGGGGGAGAGGCGGGGTGTCTGTGTGCAGGGTCCAGCCCAAATGTTCAGGATTCAGATATGAGTAGTGTAAAGAAAGGGTTTTCCGGGGTGCGGTGAATTTTCACTAGCACTGGGTCCACAGATGCTGCAGTTCGCAAGGGGGATGCTAGGACCTGCTTAAGCAAGGGGTGGGGTCAAAGTAGGTCGGGAGATCCCCGGGGGTCTTCAGGTCCTTGGGCCTACTGAAGGGCAGGGCAGCCGTTAGGTTTGTTCTTGATTGAGGGTCCTCAAACCCATACCTTTCCTGATGTGGGGGCAGCCTGGGACCCTGGTGAGGCCCGGATTTGCTGCCCTGGCGGGGTACGCCGACGCCGATAGAGGGCTCGGCTGTAGGGCACCAGGCAGTCGGCTAAATGGAGGCGCAGGCAGAGGCGGCGATAGCTGGCCAGGGCAAGCACGAGCAGCGGCACGAGAAGCAGGAATCCGGTGACCAGCAGGGCCGTGAAGCCTGGGTCCCGCAGGTGCGCAGTGCAAGGGGGTGCCTGGGAGCGCAGAAACTGTAAGATAAGAGGTGTCAGGCTCAAGTCGAACGGCCCAGGCGGGGAGAAGTGATTCATAGACCCCACAGCCACCATAACCCCGCACACCCTGGGGCGCCCGCTGCTCACCTGGGAGTGGCAGAGAAAGCCGAAGCCTAGCATGGTGACAGCGGGCAGCAGGATGGTCCCCAGCACCAGCGCCAGCAAAACAAGATTGAAGGCAGCCACGAGCAGATTCTGGGCGGTGACCAGCACAGCGCAGGCCCAGCAGTCCAAGGGATCCCGGGGCTCTGGGCCACCGCTGGGAACCGGTCTCTGGGCCCCGAGGACATCCGCCATGGCCTGCCTGGCTTCTCCCCGCCAGGGCCGCAGCCCTTATAGCCCTTTCCTGCCCCTCCCCCGTCCCAGCCTCTCCCCACCCCACCCCCCTCATCCTGGAATGCGGCTCCAGGAGTAGGCACCCCCCATTTGGAGGAGCAGACCAGAGATCGGGACATTCCACAGGCGCCTCTGGGGAGGGGATCACCCTGGCCGGGGTCTGCGCAAATCTCCCCATCCATCACGGGCTTGCAGCCCTCCTCCCAGTATTCTCCCTATCACCAGCACACTATAAACAGGATTTTTCTTCTGGTTTTATTTTTAATATTATTATTCTCACACAAAAATCACCGAAAATAGGGGTAGGATTGGGAAGACCCCTCTGCCCCTGGGACAGAGAGACAGTGCAGTGCGAAGGGGCGGGACTGTAAACCCCCCATCCCTCCGCAGCCCCAGCTGGAGAAAAACTGACAACACGAAAGTAAAGCCCCAGAGAAATTCTTCTGCGGTGTCCCTGCACCAGGGAGGCTCTGGCCCTGGGCTGTTTCATGTTTAAAAAGAAAAGGGGGGTGGGGGCGGATGGCGGGCGCGAGGGGAAGATCCGTGTTTTTAAAATTGGCCGGGGCTGGGAAGGACGGGGTTCCTTTTCCTCATAGTTCTTTTTTTAAAACTTTAAAATTTTTTTTATTTTATTATTTTTTTTTACAAAATACCATTTCAGTTCCCACTTCTTCCCCTACAGTACAGGAGTCGCTCACCCTCAGGCAAGGTTCGGGTTGGGGTTGGGGTGGGTGGGGTGGGGGGACTTGTCCAAGAAAGTGCAGGACGTAGGGGAGGGGAGCGGGTTTGAGCACCATGAGAACCCGGCTGGAGCCGCGGGTGAGTGGAGACGTTCAGGCCAAACTGGGGCTTAGGGAGAGCCCGGCGGCGGGCGGGCGGGCGGGCGGGCGGCCCCTTGTAAGGATGGGCAGGATGGCTTCGGGGGTGCGGGAGGTCGGGTTTTCCCAAAAATGAATAAATAGGTGAGTGGGACTGTTATAAATTAAAAACAAAAACAAACAAAAAAAACAGAAAATACAAATCATAACCAAGTGAATAAACAGAGACATGTACAGGGATCACAGCTAGCATTGGAAATAAAGAGGTTCTGGGGAAGGGATAAAGCCCATAGAAAGAATCTCATTAAAAAACCTCGGCTGCCGTAACATCTATGTACATACACGAGCCGCGCGCATCTGCGCCGGGCAGGCGGCTGGCAGGCGTGAGGGAACCCGTATGTGACCCCCGCCGCCGCCGGAGCCTGGTCCTTGTGTCTGTTGCTAGAAAGGCCAAAGTCGGTGAGGGGAGGCGCTGGTGGGCGAGGGGCTGCCAGCCCCCTCCCCGTCTCCCTTTTTTTTTTTCCTTTTTTCCTCATATTTGTTAAAAAAATTTTTTTCTTAATAAATTAAGTGAAGGGGAGCTGCCAATGGGGTGGAAGGGCTGGGCCCGACCCCCTTCCCGGCCAGAGGCGGGACCTAGGTCCAGCCCAGGCGTGTGCTGGTGGCCCCGCGGCGCCCTGCGGCGGGCAGGCGGGCGGGCGGGGCATCCGGCTTCATCGAGACGTGCTGGCGGGGGCCTGTGGGGAGAAAGCGGGCAGGGGGTGGGGGCTCAGGGGCAGGGGCAGGGGCAGGGGCGGGCCAGCCCACCCCACGGCCCGCCCCCCACAGCGGCTCCCCGCCCGATGGCCCGCCCAGCGCCACGGCGCCGGGGCCTCACCAGCGTAAAGGCGTCGTAGGTCTGCGCCAGTTCCTCCGTGCGGTACTGCTCCAGCACCACCACGCCCTGGAGGCCTGCGCTGCGGCGCCGAGCACAGGCCTCGCAGTGCACTAGGTAAGTGTTGCGGCTGCCGTTCTCACTCGTCACGAACAGGATATTGAACACCTCCACCTGGGAGAGGGAGGAGAGGTAGTCACCAGGAGGAGCTCTCCTGGGAGCTCCCTCCTCCAGGCAATTAGAGGGAAGCGAAGGAGAGGGAAAGGGCCCACTCACGTCGCACTCGTTGCAGTAGTAGGCAGGCTCATCCTTGACCCGGCCCTGGTAGGCGATTTTCTTTCCTGCCCGCACCAGGCTCTCCCGTTGCACCTGGCAGTGCTTCATGGACTGTAGGAGGCAAAACCTGGCGGGTGGGGGTGGTGATGGAGGGAGGGGTGGGTGTGAGGCACGCCTGCAGGCAGGACAGCAACCCTTATCTACTGGGCGCCACCCATGTCCAGGTCACATCCCCTGATGTGGGTTTCTGAAACAGTTGAAATTTCATGTGCCTTTTTTGATTTGGGCCACTATCAAATAAAACAACTCAGCAGTAGCCCTGTCACCCACCCCAGCACTGTAGCACTACAGGGCGCATCTGGTAAAGGGTGGAAAGAAAGATGGAGAATGGGGTTTCATTTGACATGCAGGACAAGGCTGGGACCAGGTCTGGTGGAGATGGGCTCCCTCCCAAATAGGACCCTCACTTGATCATCTTGAACAAGTCAGGGTCGCTGATTTTCACGGTACGAGCCACGTTCCAGGACACATGAATCATGGGCACAATGGATTTGACGTTCTTCACCTCGTTCCACTCATATCGTTCCAGGGCCAGCTGGTACTGATAGGCTGCAGGCCAGAAGGGGTCACTACAAGACTCTCAAACAACCCCTAGCCCCTTCCCTCCTAGTTGACTGCACTCCAAGCTCCCTACCAGGAGGCTCCACCCCTCAAAACTGAGTGGCTCTGAACCCCCCTCTCACCGGTGAGGGGCCCAACGTTCCAAGCGATGTTGTTGCACCAGCCGGTGGCCTGCACCCAGTGCACGGTCCCCGCGTTAATCCACACGAGGTCTCCAGGGCGCTGCACGAAGCGGTACACAGGGATATTGGAAGCATAGAGGTCATCCAGGATTGGCCACCAGGAACCTGTCAGGTAGTCCACACCATGCCTGCGGGGTGGCCACAGGGTCAGATGGAAACCTGGGGACCCAGAGATGGGATACAGGGGGTGGACCTAGTGTGGGGTGAGGAGGTGGGGGTACGCACCGGTCACAGAAAGCACTGATAGTTTCCCAGTAGTGCTCGTGCACCGCGAACCACTCACAGTCGCCTGGGCCAATGTTGATGTTAACGGAGCAGAAGTTGTTGTTCTCTTGGTGGCCTGCAGGGGGCAAGAGATAATGCCTGGCTGATCTAGACAACCTTGTGCTCCAAGCCCACCAACCTTCGGCCTTCATTGGCTGAGGAAGCAGCGTGGACACCAGCCCCGCCCCCAGTGCGCTTCCCGAACCTGGTGTTCGGCTGCCAGGGACCTTCATGTACAGCTGCACCGTGTTCATGCCCAGGATCGTGTGGCCCACGTGACTTAGCATGTTACCGGTGGATGTTACCCGCATGAAAGCAGGCAGCTTCAGCAGCTCCTGCAGTTGTGGCTTCCACCTGCGGCAGTCATTAAAAGTGAGGCTAAACCCAGATCTGTAGACCCATCAGCACTCCTGCCCCAGTTTTGCTGGCCTCTGCCCCACTGACCGCTTCGCATCAGACAGGTCGATGTTGGTGCCAAACTTGATAATGTGATGGTTCTTCGGATCTGGTGCGCTGCTGCAGGGGCAAAGAGCACACATTGGTGAAGAAGCACGGGAAAGGGAAGAAGTCATGAGAAAAAGGGCATACTGTACGATACCTAGGAGGGGTTCCTGTGGTGCTGTCTGGCTCCTCGGACTCCTCATCCTCACTCTCCTTCTCCTCCTGCTTGGCCATAGGCTGGGTCAGCCACATTCCAGAAGCTCTCCCACAAAAGCCCCTCTCCAGGTCCCCTGATCCCACACCCCTGCCAACCTATGCTCACTTCTCACCTGCAGGGACTCCTGGAAGGATGATGCCTGGTACTGCGCATACTTAGCAATGGTGGTGTGGGAACGGGAACTCTCACAGGGCCAGATCTGTCGAGTGCCTGTCAGATCCCAGTTCTCATCTGAGGGCTGCTGCACCTGGGTGCGCACCTCCACAGTGTGCTCGCCACTTGCTTCCACCAGAGTCTTGGTGGAGAAAAGGCCCAAGTCTGCAAGGGAGGGCGGAGCAGGGCGTCGGGGCAGAGGTAGAGGACAGGGAGCAAGGACTCAACTCACTCTGTCCCTTCTTACTCCCCAAGCTCTAACAGGCTCCCCCAAGGTCAGCCCCGGAGGACCCCAGAGCCACAGGAAGGTTGGCCATCCGTCACCAGCCCTCTTTCTCCCACTGCTGGTCCGAGCTTCAGCCCCACCACAAGAGTCCTCAGGTGTATGTGAGGCCACATGTGCACAGAGAAGGTGCTTAATGAATGTCAGATTCTTTAAGTCATCATTGCATGCAATGAAAGATTTAGTTAAGTAAAAGCCTAGAATGTGCTTTAAGTAACTCAGTGGAAGGAAAAACATAAGGGTATAGATGAAACAATGATTTTTATGTTTTTATATGATTCCCTCTACTTTAATGCATGTCTGAAATCTTGCACAATAAAGGTCGAAAAAGAGAAACCCCAGTTCATGAGTTTTCAAGAATACTCTACAATCTGTATTCTTCTCATCTTTCATCACCAAGAAAACCAAATGACTCTAGCCAGGCCCTAAGATACATCCCCTCCCCACATGCTCACTATTAGAGAGAGATGGGAGAAAAGCCTGGGGTCAGCTGACCCGTCACTCTGAGCACCCTTCCAATATGGTCTACCTGTGACTGAGAAGAGCTCTCTATAGCTACCCTTCTGGGTCTTAAAACTGTGGGGGCTCTCAAAGCATCCCAAAGCCCTGAAGCCTTGCAGCCCACCACCTTCCTGCTCCACACACTCACTTAGCCGCAGGGAACCTGCCAGGCCCCGGATCACGGTGATGGGATTTCGAGGGTCTGTACAAAACTGCAGCAGCACTGGTGAAAAGGCATCCCGTTTGCTTTCCAGCTGAAGGACAACCGGGAGACAGGGCTAGATCAGAGCCCTGGCCCAGGCCCAGAGCACCCTGACAGCCCCCAACAGTCTCAGAACCCTGTAGCAGGGGCACACATACATAGATGCTGGGTGTGGGTGGGTTGAGTTTCTCCCGAGGCAGCTTCTCCTCAGTGTTGATCTTCGGTTTCACAGACTGAGCAGGGGAAAGGTAGGACTCTCTAAACTTCCCTTTCACCTTGGCATTTCTGCAGGAGAACAATGAAATGAGGACAGAAATAGGGTGATGGGGAAAGGAAGCCTCCCATCCAGCCAAGTCAGCAGCCTCATGAGTGACAACCCCTAACTCACTTGCTGGCACGCACGACATCAGCAGCACAGTGGCTGATGGTGAGATCTGCCATGCGCAGCCTCCGCTCTTCCACCTCAGAGGCGATAAAGGTCTCCTTGTCACCACTCTCTACCTTGATCAGCCGGATCTTCAGCTCCTTGGGAGGCCCTTCACTAAGTGATCGCAGCTTCAGCATGTCAGCCCGGCTGACACCTGGTGGCCCTGGTGCTTCCTCCCGAGACTTCTTCCCAGGGACAGGGATTGATGTAGGTGGGGGCTGGACAGAGGGTGTAGGCGCTGGTGGAGGAGCAGCAGCTGTGGGTGGTTTAGCCTTAGAGGCCCCACCAATATCTGGCCGGGCCTTCTCACGACCCTGGATCTCCTCACTCTGCAGGTCCAGGTTCCCAAGCACCCGGCGGCTCTTTTCTTTGGGGGCCTTGGCCTTGGCCTTTGCCCTACCTTCACGGGGCCGCCGACCCATAATGTCCTTACAAGCCCGCCTGTGCCTCTTATGCTCCTTCTGCTGCCGCTTACTGCTGCCTGGTCCTGCTACTGCCACCACCCCACCACTCTCCTCCTTGGCCTGGGCAGGAGGCAGCAGTCGCTCAGTCCCACTGTCCACTGGGTCTGTCGTGTCCACAGGGTTTGCCTTGTCTACTGGGCCTTCTGGGTCTGTGGCACTCCAGCCCACCCGCTCCACAAGGGTCTCACAAGCCCGACTGATCTCTTCTAGCACCTCAGACTCAGAACGAGCAGGGGGCAGAGGCAGGGGTGGGGGCGGCGAGGCAGGGTTCATGGGGCCCAGGACTGGCTCTTCACCTGCCCTGTGCTCCCGGACCCAAGGCCCACCTGAGGTAGAGAACTGAGATGACGAGGAAGCAGAGGGCTGTGGGGAGCCCTGGGTGCTAGGAGCCACTGAGGTTGGAGGTGGGACGGTAGCACCTGATGGGGGACTGGGGGAATACTGAGTGGTGGGCAAGGGCCCAGGACGGGTAGAAACAGCTGCTCCAGACCCCCGGTAACAGTACTTTTGTCCCTCTAGCACGGAGGCCAAGGATTTGAGCAAGCTGGCTGGGCTGGCTGCTGTGGGTAATGGGGGTGGCGGTGGCTGTGGCTGGGAGGGTGGAGGGAACTTGGCTAATGGAGGTGGTGGTGGTAGGGCTGGTGGTGGCTTCTTCTCCTGTTCTTGGGCGGCGGCGGTGGTAGTGGTGGCGGTGGTGGTAGCAGTGGTAGTTGGGGCTGTGTCAGTGGGGAATGGAGGCTGCAGAGATGCAAAGGGCTCCTTCAGGGGGGGCAGGGGGGCTACGCCTGTCTCCTGTTGTTGCTGCTCCTCCTCCTTGCGAATGGATTCATCCAGCATCTTCATGATGTTGGCCAGCCCATCAGGTAGGATCTTGAATTCAGCGGGCTCTTCAAACTGATCCTCCAGTTGAGTAGAGGGAAAATCAAAGAGTCGCGTGCCTCGGGCAGGCAGTTCCCCAACTGTCGGCTGCACAGGTTGGGGGGCTTTATTCAGGGGGCCTGGAGATGGCCCTGGCCCCACCTCGGGGGTCTTTGGGAAGGAGACCCTGGGCCGAGGGCTCTCCGGGCGCCTGAAGCTTCCTGAGGTATTTTGGTGGCAGGAGGAAGGAGGGGCTGGAGGCAGGGCAAGAGTCAGGGGTGCAAGAGGTGGGTCCTGGGAGCTCAGTGTTGGGCTGGGGGGCCGGGAAAGGGGGTCCATAGTTCTGGCCAAATAGGGAGGTGGGGGGAAGGACACAGGCCCAGTAGGGCTGCTGCTGTGACTGCCGTTGCTGCCGCTGCTGCTGCTGCTGGTGGTTGGGGGAGTAGGAGGGGTGTGCGAATCCTGAGTGCCTACAGAAAAACGGGGTGCCAGAGGCCCCAAGAAGCCCTCACGGTGTGGGAAGGGTGGTGGAGGAGGGCGAGGGCGTCCCTCGGCTCCAAAGAAGAGATCCTCTATGACCTCTCCATCTTCACGGGCTGACCGGCAGGCTGGGCCCTTCAGCCAGGCAGGAGGATGTGGGGGGCGTAAGAGGCGGGGACAGGGGGGCGGAGGAGGTGAGGGGGGTCCAGGTGGCAGAGACAGATGAGGAGTGGCAGCAGGAGCTGCCAGGAAAGGTTTCCGACTGCTATGTGTCGAGGGCCCTAGGCGGCCTTGGTGAGAGGTGACCTCCAGCGCGGGAGTTTGGTAATGGTCAGCGCCGGGCTGCAAATAAAGGATGGGGTTGGTCAGAGGTTTGCTAGAGTCACCTCAGACAAGAGCCCACTGACCACCTCACTCCATCTTCCACCTGCGGTGATCACTCACAATGCCTGGGCTCGGCTCCATGCCCCGGAGACCAGTGTTGCTGCTGCTGCTGCTGCTACTGCTGCTGCTGGTGGTGCCAGGGATGCCGGGAGGCCGGGAAGGGGCATAAGGCACACAGGCGGTGGTTGCTGCTGGTGAAACGCTGGAGTCCATCCGCGACCTCTGAACTCTGCTCTCTCTAAGGTCACTTCCGGGGGGACGAGTGGCAGGAGGGCAGCCATGGCTCTCTGCTCCTGGGGGGCGGGGGCTTGGGCCTAGGGGTGCAGCCGGGACCAGCCGGTGGCCAGGGGGTTGCGCAGTATAGGCTGGAGCTGGGTATGGATATGGGTGAGGCAGTGAATGCCGCTGCTCCTAATGGAGACAAATAAGGACACTGAGTGAGGAATGAAGGATACACAGGCTTGCAAGTGAGAGACAAGGGTCAAGAGACAGATACCCACCTGGCGCTCTGGGGGAACTGAACCCTTGCGCTCAGAACCCCAGGCATCTCCATGCAGAGTACTCCACAGCCCTGGCTTGGTCAGCTGAAATGGAGGGCTGGTGGCTAGGCCAGGCAGGGATAGGGGTGGTGGTGGTAATGGTGGTGGTGGCAGTGGCAGCCCTGGGGGAAGGCCAGTCTAGAAGAAAAAGGGGTGTGAGAATCCCATTCCTTGCCCCATTCCTCCTACTCACTGTCTACCTGCCCACATATAACCATACCTGCTCAGAGTTGCAGCCTCTCCTGCGCTTGCCTCCAGGGCTGATGCCCTCCTCCCCTGAGGGGCCTGAGAGTACGACAGGAGGCACAGGCTGCATCACTGGGGATTCAGCGGCTCGCTTCACTGGGGGACCCCCGCGCTTGGCCCCATAGTTCCGCTTGTGCTGAGGACAAAAAGAGAGAAGAGAGAATGGCTCAAGTGCATACCTGGCCCGGCCCTCTTCCTTAGCCCACCCAGCCCTGGCCTCACCTCAAGGTGCAGCAAGTTCCATACTTGCTCCAGTGGGGGCAGGACCTTGGCTCGGTGCTGGCAGGAGCCAGCATGAAAGTTCCAGAGCTGGGCCTGGTGAGGTAGGGGAAGGGTGCGGACAACAGGACAGAAGCAGGCATGAGATGAGGGCACTGAGCCAGAAAGCATAATCTTTGCTTTTTAGTGTCCTGCCTCATCTCACCTGCTGCAGTCGGCTGATGTGGGGCCCCAGCTCAGCCAAGCTTCCTCCATATCGAAGGGCACTGTGGTAGCAGCGTATGGCCTCCTCAGTGTCATGCTCTGACTCATACAGCTGCCCAAGCTGCTCCCACAGCCCTGGCTGGGCTGGCTCCCGGAGCAATGCCTGCACACAGCCGTGCAGGGATTCCAGCTTTCCATGGAGGGGTCTTGGGGTGGGTGTCCTACGAAGTAAAACAGGTTGAGAGGAGGGGTTATCAGGGTTGGGGAACTCTTTAAAGGACCCAGTTTTACCTCCCATCCCCAGCACCTTTGAATCCTCACTCACCCTGGAACATAATATGGTTTGTTGGGGTGCCCAGAGCTACTGCCATGCGAAGAGGATAGGGGAGCAGAAAGTGGAGGCTGCCCAATGCTGACAGAGCACCTGGAGAGAGAACAGGTCTGTTAATGTACATCAAGATGGAGCACTCTTGTCCCTATGGAAGGAAGGGGGTGACTGGGGGAATAACAGAAATTGGCTGAGGACTACACCGAGGCCCAATGAATGGCAGAAACCCAGAGAATGACAGAGACTGAGGGGAACAGGAGATGGGAAGGCAAATTCCTGGAGACAGAAAGATGGCCCAAGTTCTCACCTGCCTCCAGGCAGCCATGCGCTACGAGGAGGGGGATGGGGTGGGCAGGAGCTCCAGGCCCCAGCACAGCTCAAGCCCCCAAGGGCAAAGGCTTCCCGTGCAGTGCGGGCCCCTGGAGGGTCCACTGCTCGATGCATCCAGCCTAAGTCAGGGAAAAGATTATTGTCTTACTGGGGG